AGCGGTTCGAGGAACACCTGCCTGAAAGGTTTTTTCAGCTTTTGTTTGGAAGCGAAAGAATAAGTCAAGAGTTTACGATGACTAGATTGTTTCATTTAGGTATCTTTTCGTTTCTATGCAGTGAACTGAGTCGAAAGTTTTAGTTGAATATGGATGTGGAATCATTTCGAGTAGAAAATTGTTTAGTGTGATGAACGGGTGAGAATAACTACATGGGTTCGTCTTCATTGCAAGGATTCAGTCAGTTAAGATGTATCAAGCATAACTACTGCCAATGAGAGAAACCTCTAATGCATTGATCTGAACTAGATAGAACGTGATAAGCATTCAAACTGGAGAAGTCAGCAGTCCTTTACGAAGACTTCAAACGAAAATGATTCTTAATCATTGGATGAATGACTTCCATCCGTTCCAATTACAGCACTTGAAATCAGATGACGGAATGCTTATTTCACTCCACCTTTTCAACGCTTTAACGAATTTCATGACTTATAGAGTCGTCGACCTACCTTGAAATCACCCATAATTTGCAGTTGTTTAGCGATATCCAGATACCTTTCTAACCTATCATATTCAATACGATATTCTCGGCTCTTGTTGCCAACTCCTCGAGCAATTCTTGCTCTCAACTTCGAGAATGGCAATAAAGGTGTTGAATAGACATGGTCGATGAAATGTTGATCGTAATTCTCCTGAAATAAACCGAATCATGAGCAATTTGAACAATATGAATACATTCGCTCCCTTCAAGCGATAAACTAAAATTATTATTCGATTACTCTCAAGTAATTCAGCTAAATTTACGATCTGTCGATCAAAATTTCGATTTCTTTGAAACACTTCTCACTACTTTTTATTTTTTCCTCAGCACAACATTTAAGGAGAAAACGTATGGCAAACTGGGACCAACCTTGAGCAAGTAATCCAAATTGAGCAATGTAAAATTCACAGGCTTAGTATTGAGGACAATTTTATTCAGATGATTAACAAAGAACAATCCACTGAAAACAAATTCTCAGCATTAAATAAACGTTCTTGCGAACTTGCATATGTGAACTGTCGGTAGTCATAGATGTGCTTGATCTGATCATATTTTAGATCGATTCCAGAACCGTTCAATGGCATTAATCAGAACAGTAATTTCACAACGTAATATGCATTTGTGGTTGTAATCATCATTCACGTATACTTTAAAGTGGTGTAAATCCCGTAGAGACTCTTTCTCTTGAAGTAAAACTAGTTTCACGGAATTGGAACCAACTACTCTGAGGTGAACACTCAAACTATTTTGAAACGGTCCAAAATCAGCAGAAATCATCAGGCTGTTTGACTGGAAGAACAAGCATACTTGCTGGCTCCCTTCTTGCCTTCAGGCGTCATCGCGGTTCGTGAGATTTCCGGACGAATGCAAGATCGATTGTTTCGTCGTGCCGGATCACGGATCCAATCATCCCAGAAACCCGTGGGCCAGATTGGTCCAAGCTCTTGCCACAGCTCACTGCAAATCAGTTTGCTATTACGAGCGATTTTCATAGAATCATGCAGAAAATGCATTATAAAAAATTCAACAGCGACTTTTTATTGCCAAATACGATTGCAATTATGGCGATAATAAAAATTTCGCTAGACGAGACGATTGCTCCGTTTTGATAATTGATTCCACCGGCATAACCACATTTTTAGATGAAATCGATTGAAGCGATATGAAATGAGGGAGCTGATACCCTCTATGATTAGTGCATATCACACTTGTACATGAAACTTCATTGTTGAATAACGAACGATAATTTCGACAAAACAAAAAACAAAAATANAACGTCAAACCTTGTCATCATCCAGCCTAAACCTGGAAAGAAATCACTGCGATGCAACAAATCATACGCGTTCGTATCGATCAGATTTGGTTTGCCGTTATCATTCCACGCTGACACGCAATACAATGTGCGATCCCGTTCTAGCAGATAACGGGTTGCACTAAAATAATCGAAAAAATCTGGTGCTATATCGAGATCATCTGAAAAATCACAATGACTGAGTAAAAGCTTTCAGCTGAACGAGGAGGCAATTATGCAAAGTTCGCTTCGGAATGAGAATTGAATTCCTTTGGGATGAGATTTCTCTTCGACAATGAAATTGAGGTTTTTGAAAGATTCGGTTTTTTCGCTTTCAATATTTCATGAGATGAATTCACAACGACAGTCAACACAAATTTTGTGATAACTGTTGAAGAGAAATTCAATTGTGCCTTAGAATTTGAACACTGCAGATTTGAAACTGTGAAAAATAATATGGAAGTAAAAAATATTGCCCTAATGAACGAACGAACCTTCAGTAATAATGACACTCTTATAACCGAGTGTATCGAAAACGTACGACAGACCAAGTTTATAATGTCGTGCAATCATATAATAAGTTAAGTAGCGCCCCATATTTGGAGCTGCCGTAACATTCGCCTTTTCACCGCTTATATGCTGCAATTTGCTTAATAATCACTTAGTTTACTGATACTGAATCAAACACTAACTACTGATCAATTTCGTGTTTTTCATTGAAATTCAGTTATCATATTCTAAAGACGAGTTGTTGGGAACATGATTGATCGAAAAAATACTTTAAGATGATCGAAGACGAATGGTACTACCTTAACATATCTGAC